TGAATTTGTTCCAGAGGAACGGACGGTTATATTTGGCCGTATTGAGGCTTTTGCGTGAGAACATCCGTCGCATTGAGCGATGATTGTGACCGAATTTAAAGCCAAAACGCAATAAATACCAACGTATTSACCAGCTTTGACTCCGTGTGATTTTTTCTTGTTACCAAAACTGAAATTGCGCCTCCGTGGAACCCGTTTTCAGTCGATCGAAGAGATAAAACAAAATTCGCTGAAGACTATCAGAATAGGTGCTTTTGAAAAGTGTTTCGAGGACTGCAAAAATCGTTGGCATAAGTGTATTACAACTGATTAGGATTAACTTGAAAGCGAAAAAATTAATATTGATGAACAATTAATATTTTGCGTTTTATTATAAATTACCGGGAATATTTTTGTCATATTAAGACAAGTAGCTCACTACAGCAGATTTCGGGAAAATTTTAAATGTTTCACATACTTTTAACGATGTCCGGCMATCAGTAATAGAAAAAGTGTGAAAATTCCAACTTTTGCAGGAACAAAATGACAAGCAATTAGAGGACATAAACACAGCTAAAATTTGAAAATTTGTCGTATGAAAGGGAAATTATTAAAAAGTGATAATTAAAAATGTTTGAGCAATTACTATCATATTACCAACACCGCAAGGTGAACAAACTTTTTCCTTTGCCTTTTTTCCACACTTTACTTCATACTCCCCCGTTTGGCGTAACATTTTTTTAAATGCCGCCAAAAGCCACACTCGACAACCGGACCACCACGAAAGGGCACACAACACACACATACACACACTGCTACGCGTACTTACCTTTGTTAATGAGAAACATGAGCAACAACAGCAGAGTCCACTTGAACGGCCACAATGTAAACATATCGCGGCTGCAACTGTTGCCCACGCCTCTCCAGCGACTACAACAAATAAATGTTGCCAACATTACAAAACAAAATATTTTGCGAAATTTTCAAGTAATCCGAGCTGTTGTTAAATGTCGCGTTTTAATAGCCACATGCTGTAGCACGCTCCACCTACGCGCTGCTCACGAAAAAAAACAATAGCAACAAAAACACTAAACTTAATTGAAACCGCGCACGAAGAGTTTCAAGTATAATATTTAAAAGACTATTGCAAACAAGTTGAACGTTTATCAAAATGTTGTCCGTTCGAACAGCAATGTTTCGGTTTACCGTTAAGCGCACAATGCTCAACGCCTAAATGTCGACTACGACTGAGAATCAACAGCAATTGCGCTGCGACTTTTATACGCAGCGGACCCACGGCAGCATGCTTGCTGCGCTTGCAACTTCACAGCACACACACACAAGCACACAACAACACTTACATATCGAGATAGATAACACGTAATAGACGAGCGCACTGCCGCGCTAAGGGGACGGCCGACTGCATGTAATCGCACGTTTTTGTGTTCGTGTGTTTGTCTGTGAGCCTTCCCCACCCCTTTGAAACACACCTGTTGGCAGGCAAGAGTGTTGCGCTTCTGCCGAGTGGGCGAGTACGGCACTGTTGATGGAAGGATGTATGAACAATTTCGACAATTTGTCTGTCTGCGCTTTGTGTGGCCCGACACGACACTTTCGCCACACAGACAAAGAAAGTCAACGCCGCGAGGAGTGGAGTAGTAAAATATCCGTGTGGCRTTGACTTTTTTGTGACAGATACCATCGCTGATTAGTTTGTCGTTTAGTTGTTGGGAAGTGCGTGTGTCGCAGGTGTCGAAGCTCATAGGATTTCGTTTTTATCGTCGCATTTTCGTAAACTCCCAATTGTTGCAAAGGTTACGTATGTTATCTGACATCAAAAAACAACAAACATGCAGTAAAATTAGCTGTGAGGCCGCTCGATTAAATACGCGACTTTGCAGATCCAATACTAGTGTTCGAGTAGCGAATTGGTCGTGATAAAATCAGGCATATGTTCGCAGGTGATGTGGTACGTAAGTATCTTCGAAAATACTCTTACATAGTCCAAAGGGGCATAAGTCTAGTAAAGGGGTGTGTGGTAGGGTTTAATGTCAACCCGTCAAAAAACAACCGTCGKCCCATTTACAAAGCGAAGATCTCTTCCGGGCTTGAGACCCCAAAYACTTGATGGCAGGAAGTTGGAGGTGTCTAAAGAAGTAAAATTTCTAGGTCAAAAGCTACCAAGGCACTCATGATATGCAGTCGCCTAGCCGGTAGATCCTGGGCTGCAAGCCACGTATCATCAGGTGGCTGTATACCATGATCGTAAGGCCTATTGTCATTTATGGAGTGGTTGCTGGGGCATCGAAGGCTCCGGAGTCTTCAGTATCAAAGGTGCAAAGACTCGCCAGCGCTTGGGCTTCAGGTCCACAACTTAAAGTTATGATGGAGATCACACCGCTGTATTTAGTGATCAAACAGGCAGCGAAACAAAGGCCTTAAGGAAAGACACACCATTGGCCCTTCTTCCAAAAGACGAAAGGAGTTTAGAGTTAATTCTCCTACTGAGGGACAGCACTATCCAGTGGTACACTGTCGACTCGAAAACACCGGAAGTCATTGGAGCAGGAATTGAGGACCGTATACCAAACTATCCATACTAATGGGATTATTTCCGAGCATCTTTCAGGCAGAAGTCGTTGCTACAAGTTGGTGTGAAGAAATCAATCTCCATAGCAACTACCAGTACCGCCTCCTTGTCGCACTGTATATAGAGCACAGCTGGCTCAAGAAACACTAGTGTAACATGGGCTAGTTTCTTGCGAAAACTGTAAATCTTGCGAAAGGGTTTGTCCGGAAAGTARTACAGATTTTCTTCCATCACTGTATTTCGGAGCGTGCGCGTTCATTAGAGCAGAGATACGCAATTAAATTCTATTTGAAACTGCGTAAATCTGCGACAGAGACGTTTGATATGATTAAGCAGACTTACCCAGATGATGCTTTAGCAAGAAGTGGTGTGTTTCGGTGACACCAGGCCGGGAAGAGGTCGCTGATGAAGACCGGAAGAATGAGCAAATCCAAAGACTTAACCATGCTCATTGTTTTTTTGATATCAAAGGCATGGTGTTCATCATGAATTGGTTCCACCTGGACAAACCGTCAACGCCAAGTTTTGCGTGGAAGTCCTCAAGAGACTCATACCGCCTTTCTTAATAACCAAGGCCAGCAGCCGCCCTACAGCCCAGATGTGTCGCCCGGACTTTTTTTTTGTTTCCTTACCTGAAAAGGCCGATGAAAAAGGACCCAAGCACCATGCACCTCGTCTAGCAAGGCTATTCCTGTATTATACCGCGGAGAAACGTGAACGATGGCGAACAGAGATCAAAAATCACTTCAAATATATGAGAGCTGTTTTCCGCAAGGTCTTTGGAGCCTATCTTGTAAGCCATGAGTATTGAAGAATTATCGGTTGTATTGCCAAAGAGGAAGATATTATTTGGCAAGGTCTATTGTCTAATGCGTATATATTTATGATCCCTTTAAGCCCTAGGAAGTAACTACCAAAGAACTGGTACTAGGAGAAACCTGGAAAAGAGTTTACCAAAAAGTCCGCTGAACAAACTAGTCAGCATAACTCAATAATCAGTAGAACTGAATCTGAAACACTGTGCAACACTGCTCACACACAATAATTCATTACGGCGAACATTATTTGTTATATCCAGCACACATTTTATTGTGCTCGTGTGTGCATTGTTATGCGTGCGAATAATTTACACTAACTGCGAGCACTTCTGCTGGAGTGTGTGTGTGTGTGTGTGTGTGGGCACCAGTTGGCCTATTCAATATCTTTGATTTTATGCGCTTCTTATCACTCCCATTACGAGTCACCGGTGACCGTTAGTCTCATTATATCTCACTTCAATTTCAATGCCACAAACACTTACACACAAATGTATGAGTGTTTGTACATGTGTGCATTGTCATGGATAGCAGTTACTCAGGTGCCAAAGTTAAATGCAGCTCATATAATAATAACGGTTATCAATTCGAAATTACCCCTTTATGGATTTTAATGTGCTTAAGTGTCATAAAACTTAAGGAATTCTTTTGAATACAAATATGTTTCCTTGAATTGAATAACTCACCGTAAGTGTTTTAATGTCATCACATGACGTTGTTGTTATTGCTGTGCAGCAAAGTGAGTTGTGTAGGCGTTTAACGGTTGCTTTTGTATACATACTTATATGAACTATGTACATATGCAAATATAAGAGGGTGTCAGCTTGATTAAATTAGACCAAAAATTCCATCTGCCCACATATGCATATTTCATAAGATTCTACATACAAAAAAAAAAAATTGTCCAAAATATCATGTTATGTTAAGTTTTGTGATATAATTAGAATTCGTAAATGGTAACTGGTTAAAAAAAGTCTACATTTTCACTATTTTAATAAAAATTTTTATTATTGCCTTCACAAAAGATATTGAACCAATAACAGAATGAGAGCGCTTAATATAATTTTGCATACACTTGTTATAAGTCTCGGCGGTAATGGCTTTCAATGATTAGATCTGGAAAAGCTACAATCGACCAGATTTTCACTATTTGCCAAATCTTGGAAGAAAGCCGTAAAAGGAAGATCAGCACACACCACCTCTTCATCGATTTTAAAGCATCCTTCGACAGCAAAAGGAACTGCCTCTATGCTGCTATGTCTGAACTTGGTATTCACACAAAACTAATGTGGATGTATAAGCTGACGCAGAGCAACACCAAACTCTCCGTTAGGATCAGGAAATACCTGTCCGAGCCGTTCGATTCCTCATCCTGCTATATGGTGCAGTTGCATGGACTATGGCAACATTTCAGGAGTTGATGTTACGAGTTTTCGAGCGAAAGCTTTTGCTTAAGATTAATTCGTCATTCGTCCGAACGGAAGAAACCCGTTGGAAAGACCAGGTGGCGAAGGACCTGGTTTCACTTGAAATCTCCAATTGGCGCCACATAGTAAAAAAGTGAAACGGCTGGTGTGCTGTTGTTAACTCGGCTATAACCACGTAAGCGGTATCTACACCAATAAAGAAAAAGAAGCAAGTTCGTTGGGCGAAATTTACTATTTCAGCGGTTCCTGGGCCTCTGATGTGTACCAGTGAATCTACCATATGCATACATATGTATATCGTCGACGGTCACGAAACGATTCAAACTCCTYCAGATTTCCGTAAAGTGGTCTAACGCTTGTGCTTGTTGTCCGGAGTGAGCAAACGGCAACCATCGCCTTGACCAATATTTCATTATGGTTATTTAAACAGTCCATTCGGGCAGCTATCTGGCGCACATCCAATCGCGATCTAACAAAACGAGTTCTTAGAATTTTGTCGCATTTTCCATATGATGGTAGCCATAGTTCTGGTAACCGGCGCATGACACGCGTGATGATTTGCTCCAATGCCTGAATCGAAGCGAGATTATCCGCATACATTTAAGACTTTACATATTCCCACAGAAAAGAGGCTAACAGTGTGATATCAGATGATCTTAGTGGCCAATCGACCGGCTCTAACGTGAAATTATCTGCTCACACAAGTGTTCTCTCAATAAATCCATTAATTAATGTGATGAGTGATGAGCTTTATTGGAACCAAATATCGCCGAGATCTAGACCTTCAACTKCAGTCATCAAATAGGCTGTTATCATGGCTAGGGATGGCAACGATTATTCATTTGATTAAATTAATCGATTATTTTCATTCAATTTACGATTTAATTGCATCGAAACACCTTTTCTAATTACTCGACTATTACTCGAATAATTGCAAAATAATCGCAAACAGCATTTTGAAATTTAATACATCTAATGTTCATCTAAGTTAGCGTACAAGGGTCGAAATTAGTCACATCAACCATTAATGACTGGAAACGGTGTAAACACAGTTAAATACTAATATGTCGACGTAGTTTAATATCAACAAATGAATGTCTGGTAACACTGCATTTACAGTTAAGTCAAACGCACTCTACGTTCAGTTGTTTGAAGAGCAATGGCGCCAGTTAAAAGCGAAGTGTGGAAATTTTTTTAAAATAAGCCATAGCTACGTTAAATGTGAACTTTGCTGCAAAAATTTTAAATTTTCTAATAACACATCAAGTATGTTGCAGCATTTAAAATTGAAGCATGCTACTGTAGCCTGCAAATTGGTGGTAAGTTGGAGCAATCGGCATTAC